GTAGTCTCAACAAAGAGGCCAAAGACTGAATATGTATGGAGATTGAATTACTGTCTTTTGCTGAGATGCATTCCTTCAGGTTAGGACTGAAACACATTATTGATACAGTTTGCAGATCTTGGTCCAGGCTAAACTTGTTTTTTGGAAGGCTCAGTAACATAGAGATAGTTCCGTAAGGGTGGCGGCACATCCCATGTGGTCTGATACTGCTCCTCATAAGGGCCTTCTTTCCACTGACTGGATTCCCTTGGCATCACAGTGATTACTATCAGTTGGTGGTAGAGTCATTTGCTTCTCCCCTTGGCATTTTGATAAAGAATAGCAGAGATTCCATGTATCATGTGGCTGACTGTCAATGAAGAGTTATATCCAATGGTAGTTCTACTCAAAGTAGGCTCCTTGAAAGTAATTGACTCAAGTTACTCATATTCATTAATCTTGATGGGTAGTACTCGCATTGAAAACAAGATGGTCTGCAAGAGCCAATGCCATTCTGGCTTTGAGAGAAGTTTATAATGAAATGGAAGGAATGTCTGAATTGGAATACGTAATCAACCCCAATGAAGATTGGGATGAGAAATGTTTAAGGAAAAGGAAGTTGTTTTTTTAATGAAGTTGAAGACAACAAAACTGTTCCAGAAGGGAAACAAAAATTAGTTGTGGAAACTGCTAACATAATTTGTGATGAATAACTTTTACAACTGGAAAAAAGAAAATATTCTACAAACTCAAATTTGGACTTATTCCATGTACTTCTTTAAAAAATAAAGAACACTGATGAGGCAAAGACAGACAGCATAAAAAATGACTCAGAGGATATTGATTTTGTTGTTTTCGAAGATGAATTGTGACACTTTGTCAACTTTGCATTTTGTCAACAGTAAGAACTTTAAATCATTGAAGTCTTCCACTGTACTTTACAAGTTCATTATTGGTGGCTCAAGTGCCACATTGATGGTTTGAGTGCCACATTTCCACATCATAGAATCATAAGGCTTAGTTTCAAGACCCTTGATAATCTTGGTCGCCCTCCTCTGTACATGTTCCAACTTGTTAATATTCTTCTTAAATTGTGGCACCCAGTACTGGTCATAATATTCCAGCTGTGGTCTGACCAAGGCAGAATAGAGCAGTACTATTACTTCCCTTGACTTGGACACTATATTTCTGTTGATGGAGCCTAGGATAGCATTAGCTTTTTTGCTGCTGCTGCATCACACTGTTGACTCATGTTATGGTCTACTAAGATCCCTAGATGCTTTTCACATATATTACTTGCAAGCCAGGTGTCTTTCCATCTTCTATTTGTGCAGATGGTTATTCCTGCGTAAGTATAGAACCTTACATTTCTCCCTATTGAAATTCATTTTGTTAGCTTTGGCCCAGTTCTTCAACCTGTTAACGTCATCTTGAAGCCCATTTTGTCTTCTGAAGCATTAGCTACCCCTCCCAGTTTTCTTTCATCTGCAAATTTGATGAGCATCCTGTCAATTCCTTCATCCAAGTCCTTTATAAAGACATTGAACAGCAACAGGCCCAGGACAGAACACTGTGGCACCTACTTGTTTTTTTTCCTCTAGGAAGATTAGCAACCATTCATGAGCGCTCTTTGGGTTTGGTAAGTCAACCAGCTACAAATCCACCTAACAGTTACCTCATCCAGCCCACATTTTGCCAGCCTCTCCATAAGAATATCATGGGGGACTTCGTTGAAAGAATTATTGAAATAAAGATACACTATGCCCACAGCATGGGTTTTGTTTTTTCACTCTTTTGAAGATGAAGGCAACATTTTCCTGCTTCCAGTCCACAGGGACCTCACTTGTTCTCCAATAATTCTCAAAGATTATAGACAGAGGCTCTGAGACTACATCCACAAAACCCTTTAGTGCCCTTGGGTGCAGTTCATTGGGCCCTGGAGATTTGAATTCATTTAAAGTAGCTAGGCCTTCCCTTACCACCTATTTTCCGATCTTGGGCAGCAGCTTCTTCCTTGCATCATTTATTTTGTTATCTATGCATCATTTGTACATGGTGCAATCACAGCATTTACTAGGTGAGAATTTGTACATTTCATGATGTAACATGGCTTGTGCCTGGGTGAGTGCAGAGGTTCTGCTGCTTTCAGTTCTATGGGTATCTCCTACCAAAGATATATAACGGCCTGCATACAGGTGCTTACCCACATCTCAGGTGGCCTCTGTTTATCAGTTGCTAGAGATTCCAATGATTGATACAGTTTATCATAGTCAAACAGAGAAACAGTATATTTACAAAAGCTTAAATTAGTAACTGATGGATACCCAGTGCAATTTCATTGACAAGCTTCAGCACCACACAACTTAGTTTATGTTTCTCTGCTCCAAACTTGATATCAGAAGCTTTTGTCTAGGAACAAATAGTGGTACTAATGACTTACTGGAGGAGGCAAGAGATGTGAGAAGAATATGCTAACCCTCTTTAACACCTCTTTTAAAGAGAAATTAAGAACTGGAGAGACTTTTGCCATTCAAGGAAGTCACATGCTTAACGTATTTCAGAAGCATGTCCCCACTGCTAAAGGGTTTAAAAAAACGAAACAAGAAATTATAATTCCCTCTATCAAAAAATCTGAACAGGGAGGGGATATTTTTTGCTGTATGTGAGCTGAATCAAGTTAATGAGGCATCTAACACTGCAAAAAAGAGCGTTGCCTATAAATAAATCCCATCTGATTGGGATATATTAGTCTTCTGATAGAGTTATATAGCCTACAGCTGCTTTGAATAGAATGTATATGGGTACAGATACAGGCCCCCACTTTCCAAAGTACTTGTCCATCCTAAAATCTATACAAGGAAATGCAGCTCTTTTTTTGGAGAGAAAAAACATCATCACCAGCATCTACAGATTACCTTAATTCACCATATGTAGAGCAACTGTGAAACCATTTAACAGAAGCTTTATTGCTCAGTTCCTGAGTGGTATTTGTAAGGAAAAATCAACAAAGCAGGAGCTTAAGCACAAACAGAGATCTCAGAATGAAATACAATGGGATGGTGATCTTCCACAGACAACCAGTGAGTTTCTTAGAAAAGTATGGAGACATATTCCTCTGGAAAATGAACCTTCTGATTGCAGACAACCACTAATAATGTGGTTTTGAAGGCCATGCTATTGCACCAATGCAGAACAAGGGACCACCCTAGCATTTGCCAAAGCAGAGAAATCTTGCCACATGTATACTTTTTGCAATCTGTTTTCGAATTTCAACTTTACAAGAACCATTCTGGGTCTTGAAAAATAATCCACAAACACAAATGTTTGCACAAATCTCTGAAACCAGTTAATTTGATCAAGTTTCAGTAAGTTTTCCTCTGAAATACACCATAATTTAGCTTGATAATTGGAGAGGAACAAAGGGACTAAAATTTAACCACTTATGTTGCTATTTCATATCTTAAAAATAAAGCAGATGTAGCTCTGGAAGGCCTAATATAGTCTCCAATATTATATTCTGAAAGAATAAAAATCAAAGTGAGAAGATCCATTGTAGCCCCCCATCTCTGTCCACAGCGAATTTGACAATACAGTTTGAATGCAAGGATTTTTAGAACTGTTGGTGGGGGCGACAACATCTGTTTACCCATCAGGTCTAGTAAAACCTAAGATATGATTGCTTGATCCCTGGTGTTGCATCATTAAGAAGTCCCTACACACTCACCAATTATTAGCATTCCTTGAAAAATGGTTTGGTTTGTTTAATTTTGTGTCACAAGAAGGTGCCAAGCAGGTACCACTAATCTGTGTCCAATGACAACCACCTCCGTTTTATCATAATATTCAATTAGTTCTTGTCACAGTAGGTTACTGGTGTTGCTAACAGTCCACAAAGGCACACCTGAATATGAGAGAGAAGCACCCTTTAAAAATGTACTGCAAATAATTTATTTGCTGGTAAGAGGGTCCATTTCTACGCTTATGGGAAAAAATCCTTTATAAAGGCTATCAGAGGGGAGGAAAGCTCTTGTAGCAATGGAGTTTGGGAAGGAATTCAGATCCTCTCGGCCATGCAGTGTTGTAAAAAAGTAGACACATGCATGACTGGGGGAAAGTGAGCTAGCTCTGTCCCTTCTGATTCCTGACTACTGTGAGAGCAGTCATGGTATGCTTCACCCCTGAAAAAAGTCAATTTAAGATATGGGCACTTGAAACAATTGGCCCTGCCCACCTTATCAGTTGTTGAACAGGAGGGGTTGCTCCTTACAACTGGAATCCTCTATGAGCTGGTGGATTGAAGGCCACCATAGTTTAGTAGGCAAGTATAAAACATAACAATGGTCAGGCTTTAGGGAATCGGCTTCCTCCCCCTGTGGCAGTAGATAAGCAGAACAAAGGAAAAGGAGTCTTCTTACCAGTTAGAAACTTTAATAACCAAAGCGAGAGAAAAAAGAACCCATCTCCTAGAAATGGCGGTGTTCCTAATTAAGAATCCCACCCCCTTATGATCCTATTAATCGACGTCACTGCTCCATCTTGTAAAATGAGCTTGTCCCCTTTGTGTGCTTTCTGTTCTACCACTTTCTCAGCTCTTCTTGACCTTGCAGAGAGCGGATGAATGCTTTCCAGAGACAGTGAATCTGTTAACCCCCTCTCTCCCAGTGTTTCTTCTCCTAGCTATTTCTCATCCAGTATTTCCCAGCTTCTGCCTTCTGAACTATGTCCCTCTGCAAACCACTGTTCCAAATTTATACTGTCCTCCTACTCCTGGGAAGATCAGGATCTGAATCTGGAGCAGGGGGATAGGGAGGCTCCCACCATTCCTCCTCAGTGCAGCCCTCCTCAGCAGGGTCCCTGATATCAATGTTCAGCCTACCTGCCATGGTTCTTCCTGTTTGTCTTTCCTCTAGTTCTAACACTATCAACTAAACTCAACCCCACAATCCAAATTTCTCATTTGAAACAGATTAGGAGCATTCTCTAAAGAGTATTTAGAGTATTATCTCCACCCATGTGTAGTTGGAAGAGCCATAGATCAGTGGTAGAGCATCTGCTTTGCATGCAGAAGCTCCCATGTTCAATCCCTGACTTTTCCTGGTAGGGCTGGGAGAGGCTCCCTGCCTAAAACCAGGGGTGGGCTTTGGTTATCTTTCATAATATGTTGCCCTGGGCAAGGCCAAAATTTGGCTCCCACAAATGGATCTTTTCAATGATGGATCTTCTCAATTTTGCTCCCCCTTGGCTCAGCACCCTGTGCAGGGACACTGCCCACACCACCCTAGACTTGGCACTGCTGAAATCCTGGAGAGCCACGGCCAGTTATTGCAGACAATACTAAGCTGGGTGGATTGACAGTCTGACTCAGTACAAGGCAGCTTCCTACGTTCATTCTAGTATATAGAATGGATGACCTTAAAATGGTCTTCCATTTGTTTATTCTATAATTGTTTATTATGGATAAGCAACCAATTAATACCAGGTGCAGCTCCATACACCCTGCCACAGAAGAAACATTTCTGTGAGATTACTTTATACTCCAGAAAACCATTATGATTATAAACTTTCAGAACCAGGAAAAAATATATTGGGGAAAGGGAAAATAAATGCAACAGAAGAAGATAAATATGCATAGTATATTTTGAATATTTAATATCTGAATGCTTATTTAAAAAAAGACATCATGGAAGCCTTCTTTGGAATACCTCTTTAAAAAAAACATTTTGCTGTTGTTCACGTGAAATTCATTGCTGTGATTACAACATATGTATTGCAAAGCACACATGCTGCCTGTGACATCAAATTCTTAACTCTCATGCTTTCTAACATTTTTTTGGGGTCTCCTACAGACATACCGTGATTAACCGCAACAGATCTTTCCTATAATATCTGCCATTTTTGGCAACTCAATTTTTGTCCCCTTTAACCTTTCTCATTCAAAAGTGAAATTTGTTGTTAGAGGAAAAATGGAGCGTGGAGATAGAAAGCAACAGTGTGAATAAAGGAGCAAGTCTGTTTTGACTGGCAGCTTTCTGTTTGGCTGAGTTTGCGGGGGGAGGAGGTGAGGTGCAAGAGGAAGACAACATATTCCCAGCTGCAAACAATGTTCTGCTAAGCTATATGCTGTAGATCAGCCTTGCACAAACCTCATTCAGCACCAAGCAAGGGCTGCAATGAAAATATATTATGCCAGAATGCCACAGCTAATGTGTGCATTTTAGTTGCCTTTAATTAACATAATTTGCATATCATTTCCATGAACATGGCAGATGCGCAACTAAGTGTCAGGCACGGTGCAATTATTCTGCAATATTTTGGAGCTGCTGTCCTTGAAAACCATAAAAGATGAATACTCTGGGGGTCTTCCCCCCTCCCCCCCTTATCACCTTCTTTTCAAAATTATTGTGCTCAGCAAAAGTTCTCTTTAGACATGCAAGAAAACATACCCTAAAGTTAGGGTAGTTAAAAATGTAATGGCCCGCACTGTTTTAACAGTCAGAAGTCCAGATTCAGAGAACCACAAGCTATGCAGAAGAGGGTTTCATACGTGCTGCTGTGATCACAGAAACCTTCCTTCCTTCAACATTTTTACTAGAACAGCTAAAGCTAATATAGTATTGATTGCCTGATGGTAGATGTGAGTAGGAGAAATAAGTCCTTCAGTAGGGTGCTCATCCTCGATTTAAGAAGTCTTTTTACAGCAGTGTTTCCCAAGCTTGGGTCTCCAGCTGTTTATGAACTACAGTTCCTATCATCCCTGACTATTGGTCCTGACAACAACAACAACAACAACAACAACAACACTTTTATTATTTATTCCCCACCCATCTGGCTGCATTTTCCCAGCCACTCCATGTGGTTTACAGCATATATAAAACATAGTAAAATATCAAACATTAAAAACTTCCCGATATAGGGCTGCCTTCAGATGTCTTCTAAAAGTTATGTAGTTCTTTATCTCCTTGACATCTGAAGGGAGGGCATTCCATAGGGAGGGTGCCACTACTAAGAAGGCTTTACCATGGAGCAGCAGCCCTCCCCTAGCTATAACTGTAAAACAGAGTTTCCCAAACTTGGGTCACCCCTAGCTAGAGTCCAACAGCTTCCATCAGCTCCAATCAGCATGGCCAATAGTCAATAATGATGGGAGCCAGGGCCGTCTTACCCATAGGCGCTAGGGGTGTGGGGTACCGGGTGCCAGGCTCTCAGGGGTGCCAGGCTGAGAGTCCGGAGCCTGAGAGTTGAGTCCGGGGAAGAGCCCGCCCATCGGTTGGAGCGCCATGACGGACTCTTCTGCTGCGGGCAGCTCTGCACTGCAAGTTTGGGGGCGACTGAGTCAGTGAGATGTTGAGGCGGCCAACTGGCTCCGCCCTCCTGCGTGCCTGGGACTGGGCAACCTGTGGTGGTGGGGTGGTGCTGGGCAGATCTTTGAACCCCGGTGCCGCATATGCTTAAGACAGCCCTGGTGGGAGCTGTAGTTCAACAGCATTTGCATGGCAACCAGCCGGGAGAAGATGCTTTACTCAACTGCTATTGGGCTAGTTCCCTATCCCAAGCTTTGACAGAATCACCTGATGCAGTGGCAGGAAATTTCCCAAGACCAGTCAGGAAACCATCCAGACTGATCAGACTCCAGGGTTCTGATCTAATAGGTCCCCATGGCTGCAGAGGTTTGATGTCCATGTTGTAGGCAACTCTAAATCCTTTGAAATAGTAACTTGGCAAATGAATCACATGCTGCTCCTCCATATTCAGATCACCATCATACTATCTAGAACAACAACACCACAGGTTCAAAGTATGCCCTCCTATATAACTGGGGTCTATTCTCATCTGGGAAAGCTCCACAGTTGCCATGAAGTTCTAAGTCATTCTGGGCAGGGTGGTCTCTACAATAATGTTGAAGCACCACCAACCTAGGAGACACCATCCCAGCTTGTTCAGTTATAGAAATTAATAGGAAGTAGGGGGACAAGTATACCAGCAGAATCCCTATTCTGCCCTGGCCACCAACGCACAAGAGCAAAGACTCCAGCTGGAAAATTGGTGATTGGTCAAGGAGATGGAATATTGATTGATCATAATAACTTTACCTTCCCACTCTCAAACTAGGCTGAATCCTGATGAGCAAAACTGGGGACAAATTCACGCCAGCCCCTTCCTCCTTCTTGAAAAGTCACCTTCCTCACCCAGAATCAAGTCCTAGCTGGGCATGGCATGGGCATAGCCAGGATTTATATGGGGGGCGGGCGGGCTTCATGTTGGGAGGGGGCAGAACCTCAGTTAGTTAAGTATTTTTATTAAGTATTTAGAGGGGGGCAGGGGGCAGCTACGCCCATGGGGCATGGTTTCCCCACCAAATAACCTAACATCATGCATCACGACCTTTAGGCCAGGGAGATGTAACTGCAATTTCTAGGACCAAATGATCCAGAAGGAGTAGTGTATACCACATACCACCCTTTCCTCCTGCCATGACCAGGCTTATCCTTGCCATCCATCTCTTTGCCCACTACCATTTCTCTTGTTTGTCCTGGATCTTCTATCATTCAGCTTCATTTGCTGATCCCAAGTTCTCATATTTTGATAGAAAGAGAAAAAACTTTGCTCTTCTCATTTGCATAATTTAATACCCCTTTATCATGCTCTCCCTTATTCACTCTTTCCCTAACCTAAAAAGCCCCTGGTGTTGTAACTTTCCCTCACAGGGAAATTACTCCAGCAACAGCCTGCTATTTCCCACCCTGCAGCTGCTAATGTTTACTTTGAACTGTTCCTCATATCTCAAGGTACAATCATGTTTTTCTAGTTTACCTGTAGCCCAAACACTGTCTTGCCTTTTACAGTCAATGAATGTATTATGTGGAAAACTTGAATATAGCCTAAAGCAACGTGCAAAGCATCCCTGACCATTGGCTAAATTGTCTGGGGCTGATGGGAGTCATTGCTCACAACATATGGGAACCTAAGGTTGAAGAACACTGCCTTACTGCCCCTGGGCATCTGTTTATCAGAGATTGTGGACTGGGGACAAGTTGAATCCCCATACAGAGAGACAAATCTGTTTTCTGATCTGTATCTCTGCTTATTTTGGCTCTTTGGGATGCCTTCTGAGAATGCTGTCAGCATGAGGTGCCATAGCTGTTGTTCTTCAGCACCCTCCTTTAGCCTCTTGCCTTCAAGGATGGGGGAAGTTGCTGAAGAAAACCACAACTATACTAATGTAAGAAGCTGTATAATTCCCAGGTAGACTATTAATTCACCTATGTAGTCCAGTACTGTGTACTTTGATTGGAGGTTACTTTCCATAGCCTCTTAGGGCCTCTTTTCCACCACCTGTTCATTGATGCTTCTAACTTGAGGGATAGGGATAGTCGATGTGGTGCTCTCTAGATTACAACTTCTATTTTACCATGCTGGCTGAGACTAATGAGAGTTGTGGTCCACAACATTTGGAGAGCATCACGTTGGCTACCTCTGGGCCAGGGAATGAACCTTAGACTTCCTGCATGCAAAGCATGGGCTCTGTTATGAAGCTATAATGCCCCTGTCTTCAGAAATGCACACTAGTAACATTCTAAGAGACATCCCTCTTAATCCAAAATACAGTTTAATTTGGAACAGCAATTTACCAGGGACAGTGACCAGAAAAGGAGGACAGCTGGAGCATAGGCTCCTGGCTGGAGGAAAAGAATTCACCCTTCCTGTAGATGACAGGTCACCAACATGATACCATCCACATGTTGCTGGAATCCAACTCCCATAAGCCCCAGTCTGGATGGTCAATGTTAAAAGATGGTTGGCTGTAGACACTTTTCACACTTCAGGTTGTGTGTTACAGGAGCCAGCCAGAGTGACTGACAACTGCTATTTAGTTCAGCAATGATAACCATTTCTATGGCTGCCAGTATATTAAAGGTGTGGAACTACAGAAGGCCTACTTGGGTTTGCTTTTAATATAAACACATTGCTTGCTTTTCATCAAAATACAGATGCTTTCCCCATTGTCTCATTCCTTACCCTAAGCAGGAATGCAATATATTTCCATGAAGCATCAGCTTGGGAAGGCTTTAAAATAGGATTTGAAAGTGCCATACATTTCAATTAAAAATACATTTGTGAAGACCATTCATTTCAAGTTTGTTTCAGCACTTTCCTAAATAGTCTGCTTTCCTGAACTGAGGCCAAGAAAGCAATTACTTTGTCAGCCTCTATATTCATGGATATGACTTTTTAGGCAATCTGTAGATGCAGGTTTACTGACAGAATTATGAAAAGCCTTGGAAGGAATTCCGCAAACATTTCAAAATAGCTTTTCAAGAGCCACAACAAGATGAAAGTAACAGCAAGACAGATTCGAAGTATTCTTGTTGCATATTCATATTAGACATTACTAGCTGTCTAGCCATCTTCTATAGAAAAGGCCTTACAGTCCTGACCAATGCCTGTGCTGCAGCTTTCTTTGGATCCTTCTAAGGAAACATCCTTCCTAGGCTATTTATTCTGTTGATTCTCTCATGATTAAGATTCCCCACCACTGATAATGAAGTTCAGTTTGGACTGATTCCTTGGTCATACCTAGTTCTTTTATTCACCCTTAATAGCATTTCTTTCATATATTCTTTACCAACCACATCACTCTCCCTAGTACCCATTGTAACTTACCCATATCCTGAAGTGCAAAATCTCCAAAATGGAACACTTCTCAGCAGTGGTGCTCAGTACTATTAATTCATATGTATTGGTAAGAACAGTCCCATTACTAATACCTAAAATTTAAACGACCCTTTAGGTTGTAAAAAGGATGAAGAATATGTAGACCTCCAGATGTTGTTGAACTACTGCCAGCACTACCAGTATGACCAATGATCAGAGATGATAAGATCTGTAGTAAAATAATATCTGGAGGGTCATAGGTTCCCCATCACTGGGATATAGTGCCCTATTATTGATTAATGTTCAGTTATTATCCAGGATATGTCTCAAATTGTTCTCTAAAACACTGTTGTCTAATTAGTAGATGTCTTCCTTAACATTCCATCTATCCCCCATCTGCTCATCCCTCCATTTCCACAAACATGCTCTCAAGTACATAACCATAAATATGGCTGTGATCCAAATAATCTGCCTACATATGTATTAGGGGGGAAGGCTACATGCTCTCAGGGGTTTCCTCTGTATTTTTGTTTATCTAGCTCCCCCAGCTTACCCAGCAAGCTGCTGGTCCGGTTTAAAAAGTAGCTCTCGTTTACTGTGGGGACCTGCAATGGCAAAAATCATAGTGGGGGTGGGTGGGGAGGAAATCAAACAAACTAGCACACTGTTCTCTTGTGCTTACATAAACAGCTCCTTTGGAGCATGGCCTCTGGGACTGCATCTGTTTTGAGCAGCACATAAATGGATCTGGCAATGCTTTAAATACACACACACACACACACACACACACACACACACACCCAAGACTGCGATCCTAAGACTGCTTACCTGGGAGTAAGCCCCATTGCAATCAATAGGACTGACTTCTGAGTAGACATGGCTGGGCTTGCGCTTTGCAAAACAAGTTGCAAAGAATCAAAGGCACTGTTTAATATAACAAATTGCTTGCACCAGCTCCTCTAGGTGCCTTCCAAATCCTTATCAGTTTACAGCTGTAACCTGAGGATATAATAAGAGACTGACTCTTGCACAGGCAAGGAAACAGATGATCAAATTCACAAGGGACCCACTGTCAGGCTTTTTCCAGCACCAATGAAACATATTAATCCTTGTCACTGTTTTCAGAAACGCTGTGACAGAAATAAACCTGTACGGTAACGTGGCCTGTTTAATGAGCTTCTGGAGTGGGGAGAGGGCTTTCCATTCAGCACCTGAAAAACACAACAAAACACCTTTTACATTAAAGATGTGAGGTTTGCTGCTGGCTAAATATGTACACAGAAGACCATAAATCACCAGCGCACAGACAGCTGGGAAGGCAGAAAGCAAATTTGGATTCTGAGATGAACTTCACAGACCAATTATCTACTTGGAATCATGGGAGTTTAACAAACAAATACCAGCCCCTGCTGAGCCCTTTCAGCCAGCCGCTTATGGGTGATTCAGTTGCATCCGAGGCTTTTAGACTGATCAATTCTTAATCACAAAGCACAAAAAAATTATTCCTAGGCGCTTGTCAGTTTCTTTGGACACCTTTGTTAAGAGTCTGCTTCAAAATCATTTCTCTCCCACCCACCCCCCATCCAAGAAGTGCAGACACTGTTTTTATTGACTGTCTACTTGTAAAATGTTTATAGCTTGTTAATTTATATTTACCCCTTTGCTTATGCCTGCAAATCAACATCACTTAGCACAGTTTGGTTACACTTTGTCCAAAGGAAATTACAGGAGCCTGCTATGGGGCTAAAATGGAGGAAAGCTGAGGAAAATCGATACACTGATGATTAAATAGATCGTAGCAAATTCACGTCTGTAAGCTGCAGCCTGGAGACATCACTGTGGCACCTATCTGGCAGCTAATGCGCTTTCAGGCAGTTGAAGAACATTTGAGAAGAAGGCAAAATACAACAGAAGAGAACAACCTATTCTAAAGCAATTTACACACACACCCAGAGAACACATACAACATGCAACCTTCATTTCACTATTTGACATCATGTTTGCCATTTATTGCTGTGGAAAGAAAGCTTTTATTTTTTAGCAAAGTAGGCATTATTGTTATGTGATGCTTTCTTTATGAACTGCTGAATACTGTTCACCTTGATGCATAATTCCACCTCTCCCACTACTGCCTCCTATTTACAAATATTTGAACACATACTGTTTTCTCTGGGTAAATCTCAGGTGTATGGTAGTTCACTGAATACCACCAGCATTAATTAGAAGACAAGCAGCTATTGACACATGTTTCTTAGACATCACAATTTTAGAAATGAAAATATTTAGTAGAAACCTCACAATATTTAAAAATGTGAGAATAGTCTGTCCTTATTAATTTTTACAGAGCCAGGATAAACTGAATACGTTAAAAAGAGCCCCTTTAAGTGGCTCAGATATTGTAATAGTTCAACATTATGGAATAAATATTCAAAAAATGGATTTGTAAGTGTGAATCTGTGGGATTCTAGTTGTGAATCCACAACTAGAATTTATAAGGAGTTGGACTCTGACCCACCTTCCAGAAGCAAGTTGCCAGGACTAAAATGGGGGGATTGTTTTCCCTTCTTTGAATTCAGTGGCAGGGGGCTACCACAAACTACTTGTGTACCACATTCATTAATGTGAAACGGACTTGCATGGAGGCCCCTCTGACTCCCCCAAACTCCCCTCAAAACAATAGAATTGTGCAGAAGAAGATTAAACTACATTGGCTTTAGGTGTAACTAAGACACAAATCAGTTGAAAAGGAAGTTTAAAAGACCAGGCCATGCAGGGCAGCTCCAGTGTGAAATACCAGTGCATAACTACATGTGATATCATAAACTAGGGTTGGATGAATCTGCCAGCTTTGGTTTCCCCCAGCTTCCCAATCTTAAGTTCTGTTTACCAAATTTCCACATCAGTTTCTGATTATTTCTTTTTAAAAGTCCTCAATAAAATATGGCAACATTTTCGTGCACATTTCTCCCAGTGCAGGATCCAAAGTGGCTCATAGCATGAAGTAAAACAAATACAGCTGAAAACATGCACTGTGTGTACACACACACACGTACAACACTCACTCTTAGAATACCCTGCCAAAACAACCAGGCAGTGGCCTAAGGCCTGTCTGAACAACAATAAAAATTGCTTGCTGGCAAGGGAGAGGGCAGGCCTAGCCTCCCATAGAAGGGAGTTCCACAATCTGGGAGTAGCCACCAAGAAGCCCTTCCCTTTTGTCTTCAACAAGTGTGCCAGTGAAAGTGGTGGGACCAATAGAAAGGCCTCCTCAGAAAATCACAAAGCCTGGGCAGGTTCATATAGGCAGATATAGTCCTTCAGATAGCCTGGATATATAGGGCTCTGGAGACCACAACCATCACTTTGAATTGTGCCCAGAAAGCAGGGGTGCCAACTTGAATAACATATTGTGGGGCCCACATAATTGATCACATGATGCAGTGCACACACACGATTTAAATAGGAATGCCCATCAACTTTGTGGGGGCCTGGGCCCCTCAAATATTTTGTTGTGGGGCAAAGCCCCCAAGGTCCCTAGGAGTTGACTCCTATGTCAGAAATGGACCTCTAGCCAGTGGAGCTGTTGTAACCTGGTGTCTCTGTTCTCCCTGGCTCTGGTCAGCAATATGACTGCAGCATCTTGGACCCAATGCAGCTGCCAAACACTTTCCCCAATATATGTATTTGTGTACACATTTTTTTCGTTGAAAAACTGCATTGCAAAATTCAGAGAAGTGTGAATTTTGAGGAATAACTGCATTTCAGTTCACAAATTGTTTCCAGAAATGTGAATCTGGTAGATTCACATTAGAAGAAAAAATGAACTGATTTTCTTTCCTCCAGCCTTATTCTAAAGCCAGGGTTCCAGTGCTGAGTTCTCCCCTTCCAGTAGTAAAACTTACCATCATAAAATGTTGCATTTCCTTGCCCCTGCCAGCAGCGGCCAGAGAAGTGAAATGGCAACAGGAAAACACATAACATCAGTATAGCAGGATAATGTGGGTTTTCACAATTTTCAGTAAGTAGCGCTCTGCTTTATAACATGCCACTCTAGGTTGCAAGAGAAAGAAAATGTATGTTGTGTGAACCTAAGCACAATACATGTCTTGAGGATTGCTTTGGCAGAGCCAAATACTGCACTGGATTAAATATATGACTCAATGAGCCCTAGTCATAATTACACACAGAGACACACCAGGTTCACATGCAAAGAGGTCTGATCAGGAATCCTCATAAATGTTTCCCACACTGAATATTTTGAATCCTTTCACAGATGTATTCAGACAATCACTTCCCCAATTGGGTGCTGACTTTGCAGTCAACCAGTTGAGGGAATGAGATGAAATAAGATTGTCTGAAAGGATGCAGTGTTGAATGCAGTAACCACATACATCACATACAACTGAAAGTGTGTTAAGCCATGCCATGGCGGAATCCACTGCTAGCTAGTTGGATTTAAATCGATGAAGAAATAGTACATATCAAGCCATAAACTGTACAAATGTTGACATTTGGCCATCTACAAGTCTTTTACAAATTGAAATAAATAAAACTGGACATACCGATTTCAGGGGTGAATAGCTTTTTCCAGCCTGAGCGTATATATGACACGTTTCAGCTTCAGGTTAATATTTATCACTGCTGTAAGTTATAAACTCCTGGAGAACAGGGCTGGGGGAAGTATAATGGAAATGTTAACAGACCCTTAATTATAGAGGCTTGAAACATGGAACATAACAAAAACCCTTTTAAAGTAAATATACACTGTTAACCTCCAGAAGAATGAACTTTTTGTATTCCATGTAGCAAATCGGAGGAATGAACTCGAGTAAAAATAAAAGTTGCTCTAGAGCATTTTCCATTTGTAGAAACCATCAAAAGTGAGACAAAATGATATTTGAAAGAGTCCATTAAAAAAAAAAACAACCCCGATCTGAACGCAATTCTAATGCAACACAAAGTGAGCCTTGCTGCTCCTCTTGTATTTTACCTCTAATTACAGTATGTATTGAGGTCCTTAATGGATTTGGTAAAACAAACATTAGCAAGTAGTGTAGCTAAAAAAAGAAGAAGCAGTCTACATGTAACAAATAGAATAAGAAGTGAAGTAATGTTGGGAAAATGTGTGCGCAGTGGATGGCGTAGAGGAAGGATCTATGCCTGTTGACTCCTCTTGGATTTAATTGTTTTCCTGAGTATGCCGTTTTCAAGATTTTCTTGAGTTGTGGCATTGAAGGAAAAGTAACAGGAAGTGACAGAGCAGATTAGAAGGCGATAATGAAAGGGAAAGTCTGAATAAACCAAGTGTAAATTTTTGATAAGACTCCACCCCCCACCCCTGGTCTTACTTCTTGTGTGGATTTTTCATTTCTCATAGACTGGACCAACAAGATGCTGATGGTGAACTGTAAATATTATACTAGGTTCATGCTGAAGATTATAAAAGGCCATAACCCAAGGTGAAGACATTAATTTTATGGGGAAGGATTGGCCATTGTCAGAAATGCGCTGCCGTGTCTAAAGATTCAAAGTGTGCAATAGGATTTTCATGAAAAATATTTTGCTGCCCATTCTGTTTCCCACACACACTTGTCAAATGTTAGGACTGAATTATCACTAGGCAAACTGGTAATTGGTGTAGCTCAGTAATTGGTTTCATTATATTATGCAATGGAAAAAAAAGATGGTATACTCTACCTATGTGTTTTAGATAATACGGCATTCGCAATGCAAAGCAGCCCTTTGTTGTGTTTAAGGGGAACGGCTAACTAGGCTGAACTTGCTTGAAAGGCTATTGAAAAGATTTCTGTCCAATTTAGTAAACCTGATTATCTCAGTAATGTGCAGATCAGGAGAATTGTCAATGGGCATACCGTATTTACACGGGTTTCTTCTGATAAATACAAAATTTCATTTATGAATTAATTGCTAGCTCCTCATTTGTTAAAAAAAATGTCACACCAAGTGAAAAGCAATCTCACTAGATGTGGATTTTACACGGCACTAGATCAATCCCAATACCAGTAAATGGATATTATTAAACAGCATGGGGTAGTGCAAACTGGGAAAGAAAACTTGTAGTGTACTGCCTTTGAGCAGACCTGGCTTGCATGCTGTGACAGGGCAATTGTCGACATGCTTTTTCATGCCAATCTGCAGCTTTTTCAACTCTAGATGCTATGGCAACCAGGGTTTAACAGACTAAGCAGCT